CATCCTTCCGCTTACAGTTTCAGCAGCTACTCAAATGGTGATGTCCACATACTCGATTTTGTCACGGTTTCCATGTTTCTTATAAGCAGCAGGAAGCGTATCGTTGAAGTTTAGGTTTCTAAAACTGACAGTAAGCCTCTATTGGGACATAACGCCATGCTTTTATTGAACGTATCACCATGCGTCAGCCAGATGACTATTGCTAGCGTCAACCTTCATTGGTTACGGTCCAGTTACGTAAATCCCTTTTTTCCGGATATTGGTCCAGTCCCGAAATCAATGCACCGCATTCGGTTGAGCGCTAATTACAAACCGTTCAGCATTCCTCAACCTAGACATGTTCCTCTGACCAAGCGAGAGGCGTGGTTGTAAGATTTGAAAAATATGGTCACGGAAGACTTGTTAGAACCTATACAGTGTTCTGCATGGGTTCGTCCACTCGTTGCCGTTCAAAAGAGAGATGGCTCTGTTCGTCTATGCACCGCCCTTCGAGCGCTTACCCGACGTATAATTGTGGACAAGTTCTCTCTACCTTCTCTCAAAAAGTTGATGGTTAAGCTATCAAACGCGAAACTTTTCTCAACGCCGGATATTCGCAGTGCATACTACCACATGCCACTCCACACGCAAGACGGTTTGTATCAATACAAAGTGCTACCAATCGGCCTTAGTAGTGCCCCAGCAGCTTGACAGAAAGTTATTACTCTATCGTTTTCAAATCTCAAAGGATGTGTTGTGTATGTGGATGTTATTTGTGTCTTTGTTAGTAACCCCACCGAACATCAGGAAAACCTTCATAACCTGCTGCATAGACTGAATGAACTAAATCTCCGCCTGAATACCAACAAATGCTAATTCGCTGTAACGGAGGTCGAGTTTATTGGACATGTTATTTCTACCTCGGGTATTAAGCCTGATGTGCAGAACACCAGAGCCATTCTCGATTGTCCAAAACCATGCAATGTTACACAGATGAAACATTTCTTGGGTTTGTGTTCTTAGTACCTTCGACATTTACCGAATTTTGCGAATATTGCCGAGCCGTTACGGAGGTTGACGCGCCAAAACCAGGAGTTTCGTTGGGCCACTGAACAAGAAAAAGCTTACATGACCATACCAGCTATGATTGAATGCACTCGCACGGTAGCGATCTTCAATGAGCACTGTGCAACTTTTGTTTCAACAGATGCTTCAGATGTTGGCTTGGGTGCAGTTCAGTCCAAGCTGCGCGATGGCGAGGAGAAAGTGATTGCGTACGCATTGCGTATCCCGTCTGATACTGAAAAGTTATTCCGCCGGCGAGAACTGGGGCCCTCGCATGAGTCTGCGTGTGTGAAAAATGGCACTTTTATTTATTCGGACGTCGATTCACTTTGTGCCCCGATCATCCTGTTCTTACAACGCTGCTAAGTCGCGACAACAAAGACCATAAACCGGTACGCTTGAGTCGCTGGTACTCATGTTTTTTGAACTATGGTTATGAAATAAAATACGTGCCAGGGTGCTTTAAGTAACTTGCAGCTGACGTGTCAAGACTCCCACTGTCCAAGGAAGAGAAAAACGAGGACTTAGAGGAGGTAAAAATGATATCGCAGCTCTCAGACGGAACACCAACAATAACATTTGACCTGATACGAGAGCACACTGACAAGGGCCCTGTCCTAGAGAAGATTCGGGAGTACATATCCACTTCATGGCCCGGCCGTACCAACATCCAACCTGAGTTACTTCCATACTATGCCCTACGGCACCAGCTTTCTACTGTGGGTAACTACATTATTAGAGGCGAGCAGTTTGTGGTCCCTGCAACCCTTATTCCTCTGGTGATTGCATGTGCGCATAAAGGTCATCCAGGGATTGTGAGAACAAAAGCTCGGATACGACAATACTATTAGTGGCCGAAGCTGAATTCCAGTGTCGAGACAATTATTCGGGAATGTCACGCCTAGCAACAATCCGATAAGAGTGCGAGACCCCTGAATGCTCCAGTCCAACCCATCGTGTACCCAATGAAGCCATGGACAAAAGTTGCCATCGATATTATGGGCCCGTTTGCTAATGCACCCCCGCAGAAGCGAAACGTGAGATTGGCTACCTGTTTCTAGAGCAAATGGCCAGAGGCTATTCTATGCGGGGACGTAACTACAGCCGCCATCATAAAATGGCTCCGCTGCTTGTTTGCAAGTTACAGCTTGCCAGAAGAAATAGTCACTGATAACGGCCCACAAATTTGAAGTAACGAATATGCTGAATTCCTAAAGCGCACTGGTAGCAGACACACAAGAACTGTACCTTATAATCCTGCAGCGAATGGACTCGTCGAACGACTTAATCGTACTTTGCAAGAATCTCTACAAGTTCTTCGGCTTTCCGGAGAATCCTGGTGTGATGCGTTGGTATCTGCATTGGAGGTATACAGAAGCACTCCACATATTGCAACGGCAACGACCCCCTCGGAGCTAATGCTAGGGCGAACAATTCGAACTCGATTAAATGCGACCTTTACAACCGAAGAAAGCGCCGATCACAGAGAATACGAGAGACGAGCTGTTTACCAGGCTAAATATATACGTGTTGGGAGAACGTGTGCCGCAGGGCCATTTGTTCGTGTGAGACTAACTTATTCCCGGAAAGGAGGTAGTGTTCGGACCCCCGACCCGTGTGGAATCTGTGTGCACGCCAAGGATTTACAAGTTAGCTGATGGGACAAAAGTGAATGCAAGACGGCTGCATACAGCGGTTTCTCAACGTGCTATTAAACAGACGAACACATCTACAACACAGCGCTCGGTACAAGCTAAAATGCAAACTTACGACGTTCCGGTCGGATACGCCGCTGTGTCTACCGATACGCTTTAACGGATAACACCACATGACTATCCTTCGGGGTTCTGACATTACCTTAGATCGCTCATGGACATGTAGTGCTTATAGTTTTACGAACAGGCGAGGGTACAATGTCGTGTTCAAATACTTTGCTTTGTTTTTGCCCTTGATTCGCTTATCCTACTCACACTTCTATTTAGCACTCGTTGGCCTAGCATGTGATCCTGCATTTGGTTGATTTCAATTCGAATGTCTAGCGATTTACTTTTACTGCTCGTGTGTGTGGTCAGTTTTCTCTATACATACGTCTCGGTGCTGGCTTGGTCTGCTGTTTTTCGGTATACAACATCTTGCGTGTCCTGGTTCGCAGAAACGAGACCACCTTTTCGGGAGAAGGTCCTTAGTTTCTGATGCTTCCGCAACGAGTGTAAAACTGACTCCGAAACTGTTGCCATGTGCTAGCCGAAGGCCAGTCTACTAGAAAGGTCCAGTTTGATGTCTCACATAGTGGAGCTAATATATCTAGCGTATAATCGTTCTTGTTGCGTGGGAAGTTTCCATGTGAAATTCTACATGCCGCATGTATTCGAAGGGTAGGACTGCATGATCGCAGCGGCCCAAGGGAACGTCAAGAAAAACCCTATCGATTATCAGTTATTTTTTGCTGAATGTCCGATCCAGTGTAGACGGCCTATCAGTTTCAATGAAGACGATTGGACTGTTTACGTGCTCATATAGCGGAAAACGGGAGACAATCCCTTGTAGATCTATCTTGGACTGTTCTCTAGGAGCGACTTGGGATTCCAGAGCGTGAATGTTGAAATCGCCAGTAATAAGAATGTCACTGTGCTTCTTGTTTATCAACTGCCCCGTGTGGATGCCTGATGGAAGTCCATCTCGGGCGTGGATGAAGGAGGGTGGTAAACGACTGCCACCAAGCAGGAGTCGTCGCCTCTTAAACGTAGACGACACCAAAGGGAATCCTGTTCCGTATTGAGCGGATCCTCTATGTGCTTACGTTGGACGTGACTGCGGAAGTACAGAGCCAACCCATCCACGTTTGCTGGTCCGGTCGTTCCGAGCAACGGACTTGCCCGGCAGTACGATCTCGTTGTCACTTATGTCGGGGCGTAACCATGTCTCCGTTATAGCGATGAGGTTACAGGACTTTGAATCCTTGACGCAACTGCACTTTGGAAAGTTTACTCAGTAAGCTTTGAGCGTTAGTGTACATGCAAAAGAGCTTCTTGGATGTAAGAAGCTTTTGACGAGAAGTGCATGAAGGAGGTGAGTATGTGCTGATCCAGTAGAGGTCGGCATCTAATCGTTATTTGGGTGACTTGCCAAATCTCGATATGAATGAAATCTGTATTTGGTCTCACTTGCACCTGTGGTATGTAGCCCATCGGTAGCTTTCCCGATAGCTACTGGTCTCTGCGCACAGTTTTCTGAACCGCTGTTGTGGTTATATTGAGTTGCGGGTGGTGTCCTTTCCTTAAGGACAGCGAGTGGCTGCGGCTCTGTAACTATTGTCTTCATTCGTAGTTCCTAGGGAAGTGTGTTGTGTAGTATCTGCCAGATGCGGAGTAAGTTCTCCGCCGTCTGTTGTGACTGTACCATTAGCTCCAGTATGCTCAGCAACTGCCTTTGTAATGTGGCGACACGGGTAACCGCGTAATCCACTGAAATATGACGTCACCAGTACAGGAATTCTCACAAATGTGCACAAATGTGCATGGGCTTATTCGACGCTAGCTGCCGAAAGCTCGGGCACATCACGTACGAACATGACTTTTCTGCTACTCTCCGTGTGGTAGTCATTTGAATTATTTTTGTCCCGCTGGTACCCGCTTCATGGAACATCCGGAAATATGCGCATCCCACTGACTTCAGTCCGCAGACAGCATACCGACATTAAATAAATAAATAAATTTATTCTCGTCATTGGGAGGCAGGAAATTTGGCTACGCAAAATGCTGAAGATGCAGTCGTGAGACTTGAATAATTTAGCTCTTATTGTGGCGACCGCTAATATACACAGATGAATCGCGGTGGTGGCGTTGTCATTCACATTAATTCTTCGAGGTACATGTCAGTTAAAAGCATTTTTCGCCACAGCACGCAACGTATCAACTGTTCTAGCATGAAATGCAGACCGAGACTCCTGAACGGTCATGGTTCGGTTTTATTGGCTGCTTGTTCTCCAAGCTATCCCAGCTCCGAATTCGAAGAATATTACGACGGATTTAGAGCCGAACACTCGAATACCTGAAGCTCTCCTTAGACATATTTACCGTCGATTTCAGCAGAGCCGACACCAGTTTCATTGCGAATCTTGTGCTAAAATCATCGTGCAATCTCCAACCAGGTGAGCTTCAATCATTGACATGGCATTTGTTAACAAATTGAAAATGTTTTTGTGTGTAACTGGGTGCTGCTTAGAGAGCTCAGATCAGGCAATCGCAAAGTTATCTCCTGTCAACTATGGCAAGAAGAACCTCAAACATCTCACCATTTGCAAAGATCGAAGTTGCAGCGGAGACAATGCCTTCTCCAGAACGTTCAGCGACTGCGTAGAACCATCGCCTATACAGATTTTGGTTTATTTTAAGATGCGGACGTATCTAATTATTGTGACCAGTTGAAGTTACGTAGACTTTTGTTTCGACACCTGCTGTCCAATTGAAGCGATTTTCATTCGTCGCGATAGATTCTCGTCTTAATGTAACGAACGACTACACAGGCTTAAAGAAAAGGCCTTACAACGTAAAGACATTACATCAGTAATAACTCCATTAATTAAAATAAAATTGGAATTGCGTCACCTCAACAGTTACGACGTTTAAATCATACTGGAAGACAATAATTAGATAAAAAGTTGGAAAATGTTGAGGCACTTAGGCGGAGTCACCTGCAAGGTCACACATTCGATTCCGGACGAGGAAGAACTAGACCTCAAATTTTGTGACCAGGATAATAGTTCAGTCTTTGAGATATCCTCTGCTGTTGCAACTACCCTCAGATAACGCATATTTTGTGAACAACTTAGAGGGGCACAGTGAATTAGTTGGACTGAAACTGAACAAAGCACCTGGTCTGGATAAGTTGTCTCCTGTCATTCTCGAGGCACGTGCAGATTACCTGGTACGGCCTCTCCCCGATTTGTGTACATCATGCTTCAAGCAACCCAAGATAGCTGACAGTTGGCGAACCGCGGGCATCACACCAGTGCCAAAGAAAGCAACCTACAGATATCGCCTAATCGTTTGCATGTCGGTTGCTGTGAAGAACTTTGAGAAGCTTATTATTAAAGGGACCTCAACCCAGACCCATTTGGATGGTCTTCATCAGTTTGCATATTGCAGCTCAAGGCCCATCTTAGACGACGTAGCATATCCGGTGCATAATGTGCTTTGTTCACTGGACAATAAAAACAAATTCATCTGCATCTGCTTCCTGGATTTTAGTATTAGTTAAGGCTGTGTGGACCATGCTGTTGAGCGATCTATGGGGTTCTGGAGTTTAAACTTCGGTTGTTCTTCTATTTACAACGTGTACCCAATTTACTAGGTGTTTTGGGAAAGCCTCTTCACCCACCACGAATTCTGGTTTTCTTGAAAGAACCGTTCTGCCCCCATGCTCAATTCCCACTTGCGTTATCTCCATCCCATCCATGAAAAAGCCATCTTGACGAAGTATACAAACGACTTAACACTTGACGTCCATCATCCAAGTACAGAGCCGTTGGCCAAGCTACAAACACTCCTAGACAACCTCATAGCTTGGTTAAAATCCCGTTGTCTACCGTTGAACACCTCAAAATGTAAAGAGGTCTCTTTTCGCAGTCCAAAGGTAATCGCTACCAGCAAATCCTAACCTAGTGTCCGCAACTTTCCATCGACGGTGAAGATTTGACCTTGACCAAGATGGTAAAATACTTGTGAGTGACACTGACCACTGGACTTACGTGTTTTCTTCACGTGAGCGAAGCATTCAACAAAGTTAGCATACTCATTCTATGTCTCAGATCATCCTCCGTACCGCATTTTTTGATCCAGCGTTTTCTCACTGCACGCGTATGACCCTCATGCTTTCCCGTGACCTTTCTTGGCCTCCTGAGTAAGGACATCAAAGTAACTACCAGATCAATGGAACATCTATCCCGGTGTAGTGGGATTTAAAGGCCGGAGCTTTTTAACAACATTGCATTCAGCCGTGTCATCTCCAGTAACAAGCTCGCAACTAAAATTTCCACTGATATTAGCCACTCCTCTACAGTGCGTTGCCCGAATGTGTATCAATCTACTCGACCAGACAGATCTACAAAACTATATACACCTGCACAATGGCCAATCGTACATCGGTAGTTCCTTGCTTGTCACCTTTTTGAATGATACAATTACGTCATTCAAGAATTGGTTAGTAAATTACTTCAGTGATGTAAGCTTGATATGACCTGAACTATTCCAAGTTCGTGGATAAAGGACTAGATCGTGGATATGGCCAGGGATAGCTGGCATCGGGTCATGTGCAGCGTTTGGTTCAGGCTTCCGTATATGACAAATCACTGTCAACATTTTTTCTATTTTCTGTTTAAGCACTTATCTCTGTCTGTGCCGTTTGTGTTAGAGATTAATATTCACTTTTCATGGGTACATAAAACACATTCTTGACTTGACTGGATTTGCTCTCCATTCCTTGTAGCTTTCATAATATACGTTGTGTCCAGCTGCCTCTATCTTCCCTACCGTTCCGCGTTTGGCACGTCTCCAATATGTCCTCGATACCGCACTCAACACTATAACCTAAACAGTCACACAATTATTTCTGCCATGAGATGAATGTATTGTCCAGAAATATATACAATATCGTCTAGGCTGCTTTCAGTGCAACTAAGCGAAGCCCGGGGATAATTATGCCCGCTAGTGTAGTTTAACTGAATGATAGAGGAATTTGAGTCGGCGAATTTAGCGCAAGGGGCGCCGGCTCGTTGAAGACACATGACAATCGAACGCCGCTGGACTCGCTTTAGCCGAAGTTGGTGAAGCGCTTCTGACACTATTTTGTAGATGTGTCGATCCGTCAATTCAGTTGAACGAACTGAGGAAAAACAGCACTATCAACTTTTCTTTGTAACATAAACCAATCACAAGCTTGATCGCAAGAAATCTGCCGCGTACGAAGGACCATATTGACTGCCGGTCAATTGAACCAGGCGACATGTCAACTGTGTGAACTTTGACCTTCGCAACGCTCCGAAGTTCCATGATAAAGCTCACCTGGCCGAGATAGCGTTAATCACACTGGTCACCTTGGCTACCGAGCGTATGCAGGCCAAACACCTTTGTAGAATGCATCACAGGCGCAGAAAACAGTTGGACAGCTCAAGAAAATTTGGCACGGAAACAATATTTTAGCAAGCAAAGAGGACAACATTTAGGGTATAATGAAAATTACAGAAGAGTAGTAGGGAGAGTTGAATGTTTTAGGAAGAAATTCGTCACATCTAGGCTCACTCAGACAGCCGCCACAGGCCCGGCAAAAGCACTGTACGCGCGTTTCATCCTTTCGGGAATCATCAGCAGGGCGCATTCCATCGGACCCTTTGTAGGGCTCGAACCCGCAACTCGACTGTTGCCAGTCCGTGGTTGAGACCACTGAGCTACGGGGGACGGCAACGACCATGGTGAATAAGTTACTAGATGTGATATAGCGCCGCTCACTATCCACTGACTTACACGTTACTGCCGTGCAGAGGACAAGGTAGCTCCCTCACCAAGCGACGAGCTTACCAAACTTAAGCCGCCAATTAACTCATGGCATTATAAGCAGTTTGGTCTGCATACTGATTACAGAAGAGTAGTAGGGAGAGTTGAATGTTATAGGAAGAAATTCCTCACATCTAGGCTCACTCAGACAGCCGCCACACGCCCGGAAAGCACTGTACGTGCGTTTCATCCTATAACATTCAACTCTCCCTACTACTCTTCTGTAATCAGTATGCAGACCAAACTGCTTATAATTCCATGAGTTAATTGGCGGCTTAAGTTTGGTAAGCTCGTCGCTTGGTGAGGGAGCTACCTTGTCCTCTGCACGGCAGTAACGTGTAAGTCAGTGGATAGTTAGCGGCGCTATATCACATCTAGTAACTTATTCACCATGGTCGTTGCCGTCCCCCGTAGCTCAGGGGTCTCAACCACAGACTGGCAACAGTCGTTGCGGGTTCGAGCCCTACCAAGGGTCCGATGGAATGCGCACTGCTGATGATTCCCGAAAGGATGAAACGCGCGTACAGTGCTCTTGCCGGGCCTGTGGCGGCTGTCTGAGTGAGCCTAGATGTGATGAATTTCTTCCTATAATGGAAATGTTTGAATGTTTCATACTCTACTGTACTCAAACTGGGCTTCGGCAATTCTACCGGGGTTGATGGCTGAACTGCAACCAACACAACTTCTCCCGCTGGTCGTTATTGGTATTTTGCACTCAGATGACCTTCAAACAACTGGGGTTGCTGGGAGAGCGTCTCTCGTTAGCTAGGTGCATGGCAGTTGGATGCTGCATGCACGCGGTTTGGATACGGCCAAAGTAATTCTGAGAAGTAAGTAATTTGCATACGCCACAGAAGCACAAAACAAGCGTATCACCCGTTATCCTCTTTTCCCAGCTTGAAGTAGTTGGCATACTGAAGAACAGCTATGAATGAATAGAGTGACATCTTACTGGTGGTGACACGAACTTGCGTGCTGAGGCACAGCGATGTGATTAGACCTGACTGAAATGTGGTAAATTCTACCTTGCTATCGGACTACTTGCTCTGTTCAGCTATACTTTGCGTAAGCATACTCATTCGGACGGCTGTCAACTGTCAATCAATAGAACGGTCCAAATACTAGTCTGCTTCCTCGGCAGCTTACCGATAACTGTTTGGTTTATTTCGATCACTGTAACTGAAAAGGTGAACTCTGTCCACTATTGTCTAGTTCTTGTTCACATAAAATAGGTTTCACAAGCCCTAAAACCGAGTGACCAATCAGTAATAATGCTCATTGCCTCAGTGAAAACAAGGAACTCAGAGAAGAGACAGAATGCCACTGAAATGCTGGCAAAACATCCTGCTTATAACCAGTCCGTCAGCACGGAAAAAGTGAAAGCTCATCATCTAAGATGAAGCCGGAATCGCGCGTAAGAGTAAAAAAGCAATCTAATGATAGTTCTCATAAGGTTTCCTTGATAGATCATAGCGCAGTTAATGCAGAATCGCCCTCTAAAGCGATTCAAACGATTGCTGCGCTTGAACTACAGCTGAAGGAGTTGAAGGATAGGTTTGAATCTCTGAACCAAGTCGTTGAGCAATTTAACTCGCTTAAG